CTATAATAAATCGCGTGAGACGGGAATTTGGATACGCGTGACAATAGGTGCGAGCGCGAGGTATTTTATATTGGGCGCGTGACAGAGCGCGATGATGTCACCGATGTCTAGTCGTCTCTCAGCGTTGTCGTATCCTTGCGTGTGTTACGCGTTGGTGTGTGTATAGCGAGACACTACAGGGGGGCAGGTGTGCAGAGAAAATGAGAAACTGAAGGAAAAAGTATGGGAACTGAAATGGCAGGAGGAAAAAATGGAAAGGAAGCGGAGAAATAAGAGTTTGGTGGTGAGAAAGATTGAACTGGGAGAATGGGACGGAAGACAGGAGTTTGTAGAACTGCTGACAGGGGTGTTGGAGGTCGAGGTGGGGGTGAAGGGAATAAGAAAACTGGGGGGAAAGGGTCACAAGGGAGGGGGACAGTAGTGGTGGAGCTGGAGGACCCCAGTCAGAAAAGGAAGGTGATGGAAGGTAGGGCGAAACTGAGGGGTAGGCCAGAGAGGCTGGATAATGACCTGACGTGGATGGAAAGGAGGATGCAGTGGAGGCTGGAGCGCGTAGATGGAATAGAAAGCACGTAAGGGAGGAGAGTAAGGGTGGGAAAGGGAATAATGTGGATTGATGGAGAGAGGTGGATTATCGATGAAAGAACGGAGAAACTATGGAATGAGAGGGGCGAGGAATGGCAGGATGTGAGAAGGGAGGGTCAGAGAAGGGTGGGTAACAGGACAGAGGAGGTAGATAATGGAGAGATGGTGACAGAGCTGATCGATCAGCCAGGGGGGGGGGGAAGATCAAATAGTCAGAAGGGAAGGGGGGGGGCAGGATAAAAAACGGAAAGTAAGGTGGGAGTGAGAATAGTTTTTTGGAATGTGAGCGGATTAGAAAGGAGAGACAAAAACTTTTGGGAGAGGATGAGGAGAGGTACGTTTTGGTGTTAATGGAGACTGGGACTGAAAAGGCAGACTGGGAGAGGCTGAAGAAGAGACTGCCTGAAGGGTACTGGTGGAAAGTACAACTAGCCGCAAGGGATTATAAGAAAGGGAGGGCGAAGGGAGGAATGTTGATGGGAATAAGGAAGGAGTTGAGCGACGGAGAAGAGTGGGAAGGAGTGGAGGAGGAAGGAAAAGAGACAGAGGGGTGGATAGAGGGGAAGATACGACTGAGGAAGGAAACATGCAGAATAATAGGCGTATATGTAAATAGGGATATGGATAGGAAAATGGAGAGGGTCAAGAAAGAAATGGAGAGAAAGCGAGAGGAGATAGTAATGATAGGGGGGCACTTTAATGCAGCGACGGGGACGGAAGGGGGACTGGTGGAGGATGATGAAGGGGAGGGGGGGAAGAGAGTCAAGAAGGGCTAAGGATAAGAGGGAGGTGGATAAAGAGGGAAAAATGCTGGTGAAAGCGCTGGACGAAACGGGATGGACGATTTTGAATGGAAACCACAAGGGGGATGAGGAGGGAGAGTTCACAAGAGAGGAAGGAGTAAATAGGACGGTCATAGACTACGTACTGACGCATGATAGGGGGAGGAGAATAGTGGAAAGTATGTGGTGGGAGAGGAATGTGATTCGGATCACTTCTCACTGGTGGTAACGGTGACAGGAGAGAAGTCTAGGAGGGGAGGGGGACCCAGAACGAAGGGAAGTAGGAAGTCACCCAAGGTATCTTTCTGGGAGAGAGAGGAGAGAGAAAAACTGAGAAGAGAATTAGAGAAGGTGGAATGCGGGGAGGGTTCGGTGGATGAGATGGTGAAGGAAGTAAGGGAAAGGGTGAAGGAGATCAAAAGTAGGATAGAGAACGAGATGAAAAGGAAAGGGAAGCGTTGTGGGGACTGGTGGGACATGGAGTGCCAGGAGAATAAGAAAGAGGTGTGAAGGACTCTGAGGCAGGCGAGGAAAGGGAAAGTGTCGAGGGATGAGTATAGGGTTTGGAAACGGGATTATAATAAGCTATGTCTGAGGAAGAAGGAGGACGAGTGGGCAAAGTTTGAAGCGGAGGTGTGGAGGGCAGTTGAGGAGGGGAGAGTGTGGGAGGTTGTGAATACGGAGAGGAAAACCAAGAAGAAGATAAACGAAACGATCGGGTTGGAGGAATGGAAGGACTATTTTATGAGACTGTTAGAAGGAGTAGCGTGGAAAGTGTTAGGGGAGGGTAGAAGGGGTGGATGGGATGAGGGAGAGGACGGTTTGTCATACGAGGAGGTGGAAGTGGTGATAAATAAGCTGAAAAGTGGAAAGGTGACAGGAGAGGTTGAGATAGAGAATGAGATCTGGAAAGAAGGGGAAGACGGGATGAAAAGAGTAGCGTGGAGGATATGTAATGGTGTCTGGAAGGTTGGAGGTTGGCCGGCAGAGTGGAAAGATGGGCTGTTGGCCCCAATAGTAAAGAAAGGGGGGGTTAAGAGGGTGGAGGAGTACAGGGGGGTCACACTGATGCAAACACTGTACAAGGTGTATGCGTCAGTGTTGACAAAGAGATTAGAGAGGGAAGTGGAGGAAAAGGAGATGGTGCCGAATAACCAAACGGGGTTCAAGAGAGGGATGGGCACGATAGATAATATCTTCGTGCTCAACTATCTGGTGAATAGGCAGGTGGTGGAGAAGAGGAGAAAGTTGGTAGCGTGTTTCATTGATTTGAAGGCGGCTTTTGACTCGGTGAGCAGGAAAGTGTTATGAGAGGTGATGAGGGACAGCGGGATCTCGGAAGGGTTAATGGAGAGGGTGAACGAGATTTACAGGGCGACGGCGAGCAAGGTTAGGGTTGGGGATAGGGTATCTGGGAAGTTTTGGACAGCGATGGGGGTTAGGCGACGGTGTCCGCTGAGCCCGATCTTATTCAAAGTGTTGCTGGCGAATCTGGAGGAGGAACTGAGGAAGAGGTGGAAGGGAGAAGTACCGTTGGGAGCGACGATAATCTTTTCGCTGGTGTGTGCCGACTATATGGTCGTGTTAGCGGAGGATGAAGCGGGGATGAGGATGATGATGGGATTTATGGGAAAATATATGAGGAGGAAGAAGTTGATTATTAATGCGGAGAAATCAAAAGTAATGGTGTTCGGGCGTGGAAAGGGGAAAAAAGGGAAATGGGCGATGGCGGGGAGAGAAGTGGAGGAGGTAAGGGAATTCTGTTACCTGGGGTATTGGTTTCAGAGGAATGGGAGACAGGAAAGGCAGGTGAAGAGTAGGATTGAAAAGGCGGGGAAGGTTATGGGGCCGGTGTGGGGGATAGGGAAAAGAAGACTCAAGAGATATTGGAAGAAGAGGATTTGGCTATTTGATACGCTGGTGTGGTCGGTCATGTGATACGAGGCGGAGATTTGGGGGTGGAAGGAAAGGGATGGGGCAGAGAGGATGCAGGAGAGGTACATGAGATGGGTACTAGGTCTAGGAAAGGGGACGTCGGGATACCTAGTTAGGGAGGAATTGAAGAGGGATAAACTGAGGACAAGAGCGGCGAAGAGGGCGTGGATTTTTGAGGAGAAGTTGTGACGGGGGAAGGGAAATAGCATCGCGCGGATCTGTCTGAGCGGAATAGAGAGAAGGGAGAGCAAGAAGGGAGTCTCAAAATGGGAGGAGGAGAGGAGGAGGTTCAGGGAGGAAGGGGGCTGTTCGGTTTAATGGCGAGAAGGGGGGAAGGGGGGTGTTGGAGGGTATGTTTTGAAGAAGTGGAGAAGACGGATAGGGAGAGGCAGAGAAAAGAAAGATGGGGAAGGATAGTGAAGTCAACCTCGAATAGGTGGTATAAGAGTGTAGGATCAGAAGGGATCCCGGAATATCTGGAGAAAGAATGGGGGGAGGAAAGGTGGAACAGACTGGCTAGATATAGGTTAGGTGATGGAATGAGAGGGGAGAGAGAATGGGAGAAGGAGGAAAGGAAAAGATGTGGGAGATGTCATGCGAGGAAGGAAACATGGACGCACGTTTTGCAGGTGTGTAGAAATGAGAAGGGAGAAGAAAGGAGTGTGTGGGACAGAGTACGGGAGATTCTGGACGAAAAGGGAGATGGTGAAAGGTGGATAATAGAATGGGAGAAGGAGGGGGTAATGGCAGTGAATGAGTGAGGGGGGATGTGTGGTTGCGTGGGTGTGTGTGGGGGAGGGGGGTGCTGTGGGAAGGGTCTCAGGGTGGGATAGGGGAGGATGAAAAGAAAATATGGCTCTGGAAGAATCAGAGGAACATTGGAGACCGGAAGCGGGGGATACTCGCACTTGTACTCGCCCTCTCACGCTCAGGCTCACTGTCGCACTTGCTCTCTCAATCAACACTCATTTTCAGTCTAGTAGGTTAAGTTGTAGATAGTAGTTATAAGTTGATAGGATTAAGAAATGTAAATAGTAGGTTATATTATTAGTAATTGTTTCAGAAAAGAAATTATAAGGTATATGTACGGGGGGGAAGTTCTTTGTGTCCCCTAGGGAAACCAAATAAAGAAATATATATACCTAATGACCACCTTGGCGCTATTGATCATTCATTTTTGGAGCCATAATTTGAATTTTTTCATGACATTATAAAGTTGTAATTTAGTACCCCGTAATAGTGTATTTTTTTACCATTTCGTGAAGTATCCCTTTTTCGCACGCACGCGTACCACATCCCATTGTTCGTGATACTAGCCAAGTTCACTTTTCGGAAAGGTAGTAGGTATGAAGTGGTTATTTTTGTGAACGACGTGCCTAAAGTTCAAGGTCGTACGTAATGTAAATTTCGAGTGCGTACAGCGCAGCTTTACGCACGAGAATTTCCTATACGTAGGATCTCTGAACGTTACGCACGCCGTAACAAAGTCTTTCCGCAGACTAACCCGTTTCGAAAAGTGAACTTTTCAGGCAGGTATCACAAAAAAACTATTTTCATAGGTATTTATAGGGAATTTATTTCAGACGTATAAAAACCCTCCATATGGGCCTTACTTATTTTATATTTAGCATTCCTTCGCATAGCATAACTATATTTTTGAACCCTCACTGTTATTGATATGAACCATAATATCTTCAGTCGCCAGATTCGCCGACAGATCCGCATGAACCAATAAGGCGAATCACGTCCGGCTGGCCGAATGACACTCGATCGCCCTTCTACAATTCCCTTGGTGGGGACATGAAACCCATGGCTAAACTTCACCTGAAACGTCAGAGACTCTACGAAAAAACATGCGACGACGCTGTCACCTCACTCGTTGATTCAGGTGGTGATAATCGTCCTCATCGTCGTAAAAAACCGAAAGTGCCTAGCAAGTATTTCTATTTCATTTGGTTGATTTATTAAATTTATTATATCATTAATTATTGAAACTAAATTGAATCATTAAGTTGTGTATAATCAATTCAAGAGTTTTCACAAATTATTTACTTGGCTATTAGAGATAAATCTATTTCATAACACGAGTTTCCTATTGATTACCCGATTATCTCAGAAATAAGTGATCTTGAACGAAAATATCTGATTCTTCGTGCTTTTCCAACGTATTTTGAAGCATTGGAATTATTTCTCACTCCAGGCCAATTACACGTCAAATCCGAAATGAAAAAATTGTGAAAAAAAACTCATTTTCAACGTTTTTTCACATATATTTAGCGAATAACTGAACAACCGCTGAGGTGATGGTCTTCACAATCTAATCAGTTCTAAGTTACATAAAGATGCATCGATTGAAAAAAAAAATTTGTAAAGAAATGTCATTTTTCGACGTTGATTTACTAGTTTTACTTCAATATCTAAAGAACCGCTGAGGCGATGTTCTTCAGAATCTAATCAGTTCCAAGCTCCATGAAAATGCATTCATTACAAAAAAAAAATTGAATCGCATCGTTTGTTCGAGAGAGATCGTGGGGCAAAATTTTGTTTACGTACATACATACACACACAGGGTTCGGGAGTAATCATTACTTTTGTAATATTTTTACCTCTAATTACAATTACACGATCAATTTTTTAATTGAGATTCTTCATATTTGATTACTTCATTAATCTGTAATTGAAATTAAAAATTTAGTGATAACCAAATAATCGTCAATTGCAATGAAACGAATTACCACTGATTAGGTAACCAGTAATCAGAAACCCAAAAATTTCCACTACTTCATCAATCATCAATATGAATTGGCATATTATTCAATTTTCCATTAATCATTAATGACGATGAGAGATTCATCAATCACTAAATAATGAAAAATTGTGAATAAGAATTGTTCAATTTTTTATTATTCATCAATTTGAATGAGGAATTTATCGATTATTCCGACTATCTTCCAGGGAATTAATATCAAACCATTATTCAATAATTTTTTCATTCGAAGATAGAGTTATTCACTTACAGAATTATTCGTCAATCGGGTTTGAAAGAATTCGATTACTCAATCAATGGTCAACTTCAACTTTCAATCACTCAATTGCTCACCGAATGATTATTCAAAATGTTTGATTTTTTGATTATCTATTCATTTTGTAATTGGATGTTCAAATTATTTATTTCTAAATTTTAGAAAAAAATCGGTCAAAATTAATCAAACCGACGATTAATTTTACACCAAAATACACTTAATTTTAGAAAAAATATTTTCTAAAAGCAAGAAAATTTTTTTAATTTTTGAGGGATTGTACAAAGAGAAGGCTTCATGTAAGGGAGGATTATTTATGGAGGTAATGATATCTGGGGGGGTCTTATAGTCGACGGATTTTTATTGAATGGGGCTTTTATCAATGGGTAGAGGGGTTTACATAAGAGGGTCTAGGTGCGGGGCATGAAATGGGTGAATTTATATCAGGGGTCATATATATTATTCACTGGAAAAATTGGAGGTGAGGGGGGCATTGTGTATAGAAAATTAGCGTCGGG